ATAGCTCTTTTATTTATTTTTTCTTTTTTTTATTAGTGAAACACCATGAGGTACAGTTATAGACTTACAAATTTTGTGCTTGGGTTTAAGTTATACCATGATCAAGTGCCCATCCCTCCACCAGTGCCCATCATCCATCACCACGGGTCCCAGCATCCCCCCCACCCCCATCCCCCCCGTCCCATCCTGCCTCTGTGGCAGGGTATCCCCCTTTGTTCTCTCTCTCTTCTTTTGGGTACTGTGTTTTGCAAGAGAGGCATTGAGTGGCAATCATGTTTGGTCTATAGACTACTTTTAGCATGCTTCTCCCACCCTGGGAGGGTCCTCACAACACCCTTTATTTGGTGCTTTCTTCTCTATCTGAGCTTCCTTTTCACCTAGCACGTGTGGCTGGCCTTCCAGTCATGGAGCAAAATTCCTGGTACTAATCTCAGCCATTCCTGGGTGTTAGTCTCCCTTTTTGTTGCTTTATGTTCCCCAGATGAATGCAATCTTTCTGTGTCTATCCCGCTCTTTCTGACTCATTTCGCTTAACATGATACTTTCCATGTAGTACCACTTGTATGTAAATTTCATAACTTCATCTTTTCTAACAGCTGCATAGTACTCCATTGTGTAAATGTACCAAAGTTTCTTTAACCAGTCATCTGCTCTTGGGCACTCAGGGTTTTCCAGATTCTGGCTATTGTAAAGAGTGCTGCAATGAACAAATAATTTCAGATGTCACTTCGACTATACCTTTTTGCCTCTCTGGGATATATTCCCAGGAGTGCTATAGCTGGGTCAAATGGCAGATCAAATTCTAATTTTTTGAGAATCGTCCATACTGTTTTCCAAAAGGGCTGAACCAGCCGGCATTCCCACCAGCAGTGAAGGAGGGTCCCTTTCTCGCCACATCCGCGCCAGCACCTGTTGCTTTTGTTCTTGTGGATGTAGGCCAGTCTCTGTGGAGTGAAATGATATCTCATTGTGGTTTTGATCTGCATCTCTCTGATGATTAGTGATGTAGAGCATTTTGGGAAAGGATATTCACCAAATACACATCCGACAAGGGGTTGATATCAAGGATATACAAGGTACTGGTTAAACTCCACAAGAAGAAATCACCCAACCCCATCAAAAAATGGGGCGAGAAAATGAACAGAAACTTTCGCAAAGAAGAAATTCGAATGGCAAATTCTGTAATTTCTTGGGGTCTAGTATTTCTTTCCCCAAATGAAAAGTCTAGGATTAAATTCTAGGCTGGAAGGGGGGCAGAAGAGGAGGTGTATGGGGGGAAAAATTCTGGGTGTGATCATCTCTCTTCTTCTTTTTTACCCTTCATCTGGAGGAAACGTAGAGATAGAGCTCTTGATAGGTTTTTTCATTTTCCAACGCAAGTATTTCTCCTGGGCCACCCTTGCCTAAGGCTGTAAAATAGGACAGCGTTTAGGGCGAGAGTCTCAAATTTAGTTCATCTACTTTCCAATGGCCCAAGGCTTAGTCTCTGCTAAGATACAGAATCGGCCTATAGCAATCCGATTTGTCTTTTGCTTACACTTTATGCTCAGTTTTCAATTTTCTCTTCTCTCTTTCTCTCTCTCTTTGTCTCTCATGCCATTGGGATTTCTCTTAATTTCTTGCCAACTAAGATGTGTATTAAAAACAAGCTCATTGTAATTTATCCCAGACCTGGTGGTATTATGTAAGGAACATTTCTAAGTATATGTAGTTTATAGAGCTAGAAGCAAAAGCCAAGAACAATCTGTCAAAAATGTAAAAAAAAAATTGCATCTTTGTCAATGTAAGATCAGAAAATGGCCTTTTATTGCTCTTCAAAAATGGACAAATTGGGGCTGAAGTGGATACTCTGTATGCTGGAGGCTCTGGTTCTGTGGTAACCCAAGTACTGCAGGGAGTAATTTCTGGCCACAGAACTGGGAGTGGCCTCTGAGCACCACCAGATGTGCCACCCAAATAAAATAAAATGAAACAAAATGTACAAATGCTGGGGGTCTGTATAAAGGGTTTCAATGATGCAAAAAGCAGATCACATGCTTTACATATGGGAAACCCCAAGGTTGACCCCTAGCACTGCATGGTTCCCTAGAACTGCTGTGAGCAATCTCCATTACAACACAGCAACAACATAGAAACCACCTTGCCTATAAAGCCTGCAGCTGTTCCTGGCTCTATGATCAATACCTGATGCCATTTTGGTCCTCAAATATTGAAATTAGATCTTTAAAGTGATGCTGGCTGTGGAGAGCCCTCCTTCTCTCCTCTTCCTCTTTCCTTCCCTCCCTCCCATTCATCCCACCCTCTCTTCCTCATTTCCATCCCTCCCTCCCTTCCTCCCTTCTTTCCTGTGATTGGCTCCTTCTTCGTCATTCAGTTCTCAGTTCTTTTACAGAGACTTTCCTTGTGAGGAAGTAGTCAGGTAGGAAATTTTGACAATTCTTAAAAACAACTACAACAACAAGAAACCTTTGGAGAGACTTTTCTTGTGAGGTAGCAATTAGGTAGGGATTTTGGCAGTTCATAAAAAAAAAAAACACCAAGAAACCTTTGGAGAGACAAGATGCATTCTGAGAAGGAGTCCCTGGCGCCTGCTCAGGTAGAAAAACAGACCTGTCTGGAAGAGACCCGCAGTGCTGAAAGCCTTCTACCTTGACGACTCCCTAGCAATGATGGAAAGGAAAAGAACCCTCTACCATCAGCTTCCCAAAGCAGATCCCCCTATCCTGTTGCTCTGGGTGAGCAGCTCTGAGCCTTTACTTCATGATGCCCTCACTCTATTCCCGCGTGACCTGTCCCTTCCAACTCGGAGGTGGTGCTGGTAGGGAGCTAATTTCCTTCTTTTATTTTATAAGGTTCTCTCATCTCTCTTTCTCTTCTCTCACATTTCCTAGATGAAACAGTGTTACTAGCTGTCTTCTCTGGAATGTTTTTCTGGGACAGAGAGACAAGAGCTTGAACCTAAGTGGAGAATGGGACTGATTTCTTTGACTAACCCCGAATTCCCTGGGCTTTCCCCCTGCCTCGGGTTCCCTGACAACCCCTGCATTGCCTCCACATTTCTCCAGCACATCAGTGGACTCTGAGTCTCTGGAATATTGACTGATCTCTTCTGTTTATCATCTCTTTTCCTACTAGAAATGGAACCAGCATAAATAGGGATCTTGTTTTGTCTGGCTTACCACAATCTTCTTGGGGTTCAAACGGCTCTTGCATACAGTTGGGACTCAATATTTTTTGTTTCTGTGCTACACTCAGAGGCACTCAGGGTTCACTCCTGGCTCGGTACTCAGGAATCACTCCTGTTGGGCTTGGGGTGGGGGGGCGCGTCATAGAAGGTGTCACCGGCGAGACAAAAACACCCCAAGATTGATCCCTAGCACTGCATGGTTCCCCAGAACTGCTGAGAGCAATCTCCATTACAATACAACATCTGCTGTACTATGTCACTCTGGCTCTGGATTCAATGCTTTTGAATCACTATTCTCCAGTGTTCCATTGTCCCGACTCTTGCAAGCTACCGAGAGTATCCCGCCCACAGGGTGTATTCAATATGCCAAAAACAACAAGTAACAACAAGTCTCATAATGGAGATGTTACTGGTGCCCGTTCGAGCAAATTGATGAACAACGGGAGGACAGTGCTACAGTGCTCCTACTCAGCTCATTTAATCCGATTGGCCCTTGTCATCACCTGAGTTTCCAATCTTTGGTTATAAATGTCACTCTACTTATCTGCAGCAGGGGGCAAGGGGCTCAGTTATAGAGTTCTTGCATTGCCTGTAAGGTCCTAGATTCCAGTTCCTGATGTCACAAAAAATAAAACAAAACTGAATAAATAAAATCTTGGTGGCCAGAGAGATAGTATAGGAGGTAAGGCTCTTGAGTTACATGAATGCAACCAATCCCATTTCCATCCCTGGCACCACCTATGGTCCCCGAGTAGGGCCAGGGGCCACTCATGAAAACAGAGTCAGGAGTGACCCCTGAGCACTGCAGATATGGCTGAATTTCCCCCTATCTGCCCCCTCACCAATTATGGATAGCATTTTTAGAGCAGAGGTTATATTTTGTTTCTTATTTGTTTGGGGTTCCACACCCGGTGGTGCTCATCCCTGGTCTGTGCTCAGGGAGCATTCCTTCAGTACTCAGGGGGGCCATATGGGGTGCTGGGGATCGAACCTAGATGGGTCATGTGCAAGGCAAGTGCCCTGCCAGCTGTGCTATATCTCTGGCCTCTATATTTTGTTTCTTTTCTTCAGTATCTTGCATAGAGTAGATAGGGAATAAATGATTGTTTATTGACTGTCTCCTACCTGTCAAGCACAATGCTAGGACTCATTTTATACCTGTAGGACAACACCATGGAGTCAGGTGTTATGACCAGTGTCTATTTTGTAGATGAGGGCACAGAAGCTTTGAGCTGGTCACAGTTACCAGTAAATGAAGGAGCTGGCATTGACTTGCTACCCAGACAACACATACTTAGGATGAATCACTGCCAAAAGGCTACTTATTACTGTGGAATAGATGCCTATTTTCAATTTGCAAAGTGGACGTTAAACAATTCATTGGATACATTAGGTTGAGTTTTATTTGAAGAGCCTGGTTATTAATTATCAATTTCATTCCACTGAGAATATGAGGATTGGCTTGAAGGTATGTCTATATTTGGCTAGTAGAGTCTTTGGAGATGTTAATCATGCCTTCTACATGAATTCTTCCAGCATAGCTAATCAATGTCTGCTGTTGGCAAAGACGGAACTTGGAAGCAAAGAGATTTTCTGAAAATAGTTCTTTTGGTCATGTCATCATGTTTCTTGGATCATTGGACATATACTGAATGCACAAAATGTGTACCATACTACCACACAATTTTTAAGTAACAAAATCTTAGTTTTATTTTTACAGAAATTCAGATATTCCAACAAATTTCTTTATATTTCCTGGACCTTAAAAAAATTACACACAACTTTTGGACGCAATATAACAGAACAGAATGAGAAAGGGAGTCACTTTATTTATTTTTCTTAAAAAAGATAAAAACAACTTCTTATACTTAACATTTAGTGATTTACATGTGTATTATCTATGTACAAATGGTACATCATCAATGACCCATCTTCAGAGCACTGTGGCATGTTAAATTACACTTAGGTTTAATGGGAAAAGAAACTTTAAAAAGTATTTTCATGTAGATAGGAAGTACTTTTTCATATTTTGCAAGTTCACTATTAGTTCACTATTATTCCATTGGACTCCCAATGGAAGCCACAATTTATATAGATTAGGAAAGTCAACACCTTTTATTTTTGTTCTAGCTAAAGTGGAGAGATACTTTCCTTAAATAAAATATGGATTTTTGAAAAGTTGTGTGTAATTAAATTTAGTAAGGAGGGTATTTTGAATACAGTGGGAGAGCTAATATTTAAAGCAACAAATAACTCCCAGAATGGTTAATAATTCAGTTAGAGATAATAAGTATTTCCATAATTTTTTTCAAAAAGAAAATCTCTGAATCGTATTTAACTTATTGAAGCATACCTGTAATAGACTTTCAGACATTTGAAACATCATTTAACTTTTGGTGAAAAGATGGTCAATACCAGAAGCATTTAGCTAAATTTGGTGTGTGGTCCTAAAAAATAGAGGGTAAGAGAAATCCACCTTCCTGTCTTATCCTCCATCTGATGTTATTTGCTAAGTTGATCTTATTTTTTGAGTCTATGAATGAAAGCATTCTGTATGCTTGTATTTTTTGCTCAAGTAAAGAATGTGATTTGACTTACACTGATAATTTCTGCATGTACAATTTAGCTTGTGTTCATTCTCAAGCTATTGGCTACTTCACAATGAAATATTTTTCTGCTGTTGCGTATTGTAGGATATGTAGTGAGGATGATGGGGCATGGGGAAGGCCTGGGAGTGAAAGATCATTGAAGACAACTGATCAGTTATAACTACTTTCGGATGCTAACCGACCCCAAAAATCTGAGTATTTTTTTGAAATCAACATTAGTAAACAAAAAGCTTACTCTTACCACGTTTCTTTGACCTGTATAAGTATATATTCATTTATTTCTAAGGCTATTAAATTATTATTTTTGTTAGTACCATTTACTATCATTTAGAAATAGAATTAATGGAACAGTTTTTCAAAAACAAAAATAATGTTAGTAAAGAAAAAGATATAAATTTCTGATGGCATGTATGGTAAAGAAATAGAAGGGGAAAAGGAGATACCTTAGATACCTATTTATAAAGTGTATTAAATTCCTATGCGTATACTAGGGAGAATTAGAAAAAGTGTTTATTTGATAGTAGCCTATATATTACATGTGAGCATCCATGGTGAAAATGAGCTTTCTAGATTTTTCAGTATTCCTTGGCATTGTTTCCTGAAAGACAAGGAATTCTATGTTGCTCAGGATCCTAAGGTGTAAAGATGTACTTCCTGTAATATACAGCTGAATGGAGTAGTAGTATGTGTCAAAAACACTTTCTCAGTAATAACTTGTACGGACAGATTAAACTGAACAAAGACTTGGTAAAAAGTTTGTACTGGTCCATCTCTTAACAGAGTGGCTATAACTAATTACACGGTAAAATGAATGGCAGAGATGAGGACCCAGATAGCAAGGATCCTGTGAAAACATTCAGAGGCATTTTCTAAGATACTTGCTTAACAAATGGTGCTTTACTGAGATCGTAATAATTTAGATAGACTGCCTTTTTTTTTTAAAAATGACATTGAAAGATTAAAGCTTTTCATTTTCAGTTTGATTAAAAAAGGACAGTTTACAAACCTCAGTACATACATTATTTTACACATTAATGCTAGCACAAGTGTATTTCTCTTCCTTAATGTATTTCCTGAATGTGACATCTCATGAATGTTATCTGATCTTATTCAATGACAGTTTCCAATGAGCTGGTGGTGTTTGATCCATGATTGTATCTCTTTCCAGAAAACACTCCCATCTCTGTCCATCTAGATTTAGAAGTTGCTTTCACGAGAGGGTGCTTCGCTCTTGTCCGTATCCATCTCTGTACTCTGATCTTTCCCAAGCATCTTCCTTTTGGATGTTGATGTACAAAAGCTGTTGTTTGATTTGTTTTAGCTGTTATTTGACTTGTTTTGTGCTCATTCTAGAGAATATTGGCTTAGCAGAACTGCAGAAAGGGAGAGAGAGAAGAGAGAGAAAAAAACGCATCATTTTCTGTCAGATTTCAAACCTAATACATGTCACAGAAAACCTGGGTTCAAATGCAGTTCTTTCATTTGTTATCAAAAGAGATGGAAAATTCCACTAAACTGCAACCGTTGGCAAGGGAGACTTCCTATGACCCAGAGTGAGGTGAAGATTCTAGGCAGCTTTGAAGGAGCAAGGGAGAAGGGGGACTGACCCCAAGCATCACTGATTTGATTCTGCCCAGCATAGGAAATATTTCACTTGAGTTGTTTTCTTTTCCTTTTCCTTTCCAATTTTGCTCATTATATAATCACATGATAACAGCTACAAAAGAAATGATTATGAAGATGAATTATCCACAGGCCAATCACCTTGACATACAACCTGTTTTCTTTCTATTCCATACTTCCTGTGCACTTGCTTTATTTGTATGTGATTTCTAAAACAAATTGTAGTTTAGGCAACATGGTTACAATAGTGCTAACACTGATGGTTTTGATATATAAAATTCTGTGCTTCATTACCACCAAAGTGCCCAAGGCCCTCACCGCTGTCCTTATGTCACTTCTAGTCCTCCTCTTCCTACTGCTTGGTGATTTCAGCTTTGCAACCAAAGACCAAAGCTTTGTTATCATTTGATATTGTCTGTTCCCTTGTTTTGTTTCTCTCTATCCTACAGATGAGTGAGATCTTCCATCCGGTATTTGTTCTTCTCTTTTTGACTTATGCTGCTTAATACGATGCCTTCCGTTGCTGTCCAAGTTGCAGCCAATATGTACTTATTTATAGTGTTGGAATCAGAAAGGATATTTTAGCATAATTTTTATATTTTGACACTTGGCAACATCAAGATCTTTTTTTTATGCACCCTATTGGTGCTCATGACTTACTTCTGGCTTACTCCTGGCACTGTGCTCAGGGATCACTCTTGATGTTGTTCAGGGGACTATCAGGGGTGCCGGGGATTAAACTTGGGTTGGCTGCTTTATTATCTCTCCAAACCCTCAGAATCAGTTTCTAATGACTGCATAATATTCCATTCCATTCTTATTCCTTTCCATTTCATGCTTAACACTCCATTATCAACTGTTAATTTATATGTGGTTGGTTTTAATCTCATTGTTTTAAAGGAAAAGTGCTATATTTAAAGATTAATTTGTTCTTGTATTTTCCTTCTTTTTGGAGGGAAGGGTCACATTTGGTGACTTTCAGAGTTTACTCCTGACTCTGTGGTCAGGAGTCATTCCTAAGGGTCCTTGGGGAACCATATGGGAATCAAAGGATCAAACTCAGGTTGGCTGTGTGCAAGGCAAGTACCCTATCTGCCGTACTATCCTCCTGGCCCCTATTCATTTTTTAGGGGTTTTTGGGTGTGTTCAACAGCTAAGGGAAATTTCCTTGTTCTGTGCTCAGGAGTCACTCTTGGCAGTGCTCAGGGGACCATGTGTTGCTAAGAACTAAACCAGCACCAGCTGCAGCAAGACCTCTTAACCTCTATACTACCTCTCTGCCCCCTCTTGCTCTTTTAAATTCCTCCTCTAAGATAATTTCTTAGAAAATGGCTGCTTTTCCTTTTCTCCAACATATTAGACCTGTACTTTTACTGATAAACTCCCTTCATTGGATGATTTTCATAATATGGAACTGTTATTGGAAAATGCCTATTATATTGTGAAGTTGGGTAAATGCACCTCGTTGGCCACATTTGGTCTGGAAAGGAACAGCTTGCTAGGTTTTACATCACAGAGCACTTAGAAACACAAATTATAATCAAACAAATGTGCCATTTTTCAGTTATAGTCCTTGTTCCACATCATAAGAAAAGATTATGGCTTCTGAATGAGCACTAGAGAATCTGCTGATTCTGTGGCTGTTTCTAGTATTTATCCCCTTGTTTCCCAACATGCTTAACAAAATCTTATGCACATTATGATTTTAAGTAACTTCTCTCAGTGAGGGAATTCACAGTTACTTTAATGTATCCAGACGACACAAGGGATAATTGAAATATGATCATGTCATAATGATGATTAGTCTGTAATGATTTCAAAAGCTGAATCACACTGGTAGAAATTCTGTGGATGAGAATGTTTCCTTCAGATATTGTGAAAAACAACATAAACTGTCCATGGAGTTTACATGGTACTGTAAATGGTTCTGAACCTTGGGTGGGCTCTTCTCTGGTACCAGGGAAATATTCCAGCTAAATGAAAGCCAAAGTTAAGATTGTGGGTCCATGATTTCATTATTCATTCCAGCATTACTCACTCTGAATCAATTTCTTCTGTTAAAAAATCCACAAAGCTGAGTGCTTGGATTTTCCAGTAAGCTCCATGAAAGGTACTAACTGGGGTGGGGTAAGTAGTTGTGGGGAAGGAGATGTAAATGTCTAAAAGTACCCAGGGAAATGAGTCCTAGAAGGTAGAGCAAGTGCTCATGTTCCTCTGTGTGTGACACAAGGGTAGAGGGAGGCAAGGGAAGAGTCCACATTTTTCTGAGATATGCAAATAAATATATCCCTATATTTAGAAAAACCTGATTTGTTCAACCACGAGTGACTATACAGGAACCAGAGATTTCCACTTTCTTTCTCTCTGACTCTACAACTAATTCGGAAAGGTAGCAATAGATGGAAAGGCTTCAGATCAGACTCCTCCACACTGACACTCAAGCCAGGGGACAGAAGGAAATTTCCTACAGAGAAGGCATCTCCCTGGGAAATGCACCTGAGAAAACATCTGAAACCAGGGCCTAGTCATGGCCTGTCATCTGGACTCTGTCCAGGGCTACCCAGGACAGGTCAGCACCACCAACTCTTCTAGCATCTGCTCTGCGAGTGATAGTCAACATGTGTCCAAATCCCTCAATGGACCTCTCACTGTAATACCACCAATGATGAGTCTTCTCCTCCTTAAAGCTCTTCTTTCTTGAATATTGTCAATAGCAGGAGTTACAAAGTCGGTGTTGATGTTAGGCAGGCAGTTGAGTGACTGGGAAAATGAGACAGTCAAGCCATGAGCCAGGCCTGGACTAAGCAGAGGCAAGTGATACTCTGGGTACAAGCTACAAGGGGGTCTTCCCTCTTAGTTCATGCAAATACAGTGGAGAGGCTCCTAAATTTTAGACATTACTCACTCATTTGTCTCATCCTAGTTTTCAGCTCTGCTCACTAGTTAGCCTGCCACGAGGCTGCCTTTCCTTGTGTTTTGGTTACGTAGGTGCTGCTACCACTGTATATTTTTTTCCTTCCTATTTCATGTCACTACCATGCAAAGGAACCCCAGGCCCTGCAAAGATTCTGCAGGCTGTGTGAGGCTAAAAATAATTCAGCGCGCTTGTGCTAGTGGCGATCAGAACAGAAACATTCCCCACAAAATGCCAGAAAACGCTTTGCTGGAGGAGTAAAATTAGGAAGCTAGACAATGACTAAATGGCATATGTAATAATTTTCCACCTGCAGGCTCAGAAGAGCTTTAGCCCTTCAAACAAATTTGTGAAACCAGTAGGTGGAAGAGGATAAAAGTCAGGGTTTTCTTTCCTCTCTGGATCTGCTATTGGCCTTTCAGTTTAGAGACTAATTTTTTGTTTGTTTTTGTTTTGGGGCATACCTAGCATTGCTCAGGGGTTATTCCTGGCTCTGAATTCAGGATTACCCCTGGAAGTGCTCAGGGGACCATATGAGATGCTGGGGAATCAAACCAGGGTTGACCACATGCAAGGCAGACACCCTACCCACTATACTATCCCTCTGGGCCTCCAAGTCTAGAGACTGTGTGACACAGGGGCAGTTTGCAGAATCTACTGGAAACATGTGTATAGGCTGTGATCTTCACCTTGTAAAACATTCCACTTTCCCCCCGCCCCAAACATTTGTGAACATTTCCCACACCCTGTGATGCAATGGCAGAGCTCAGGGGAGGCAATTTAAAAGATGTCATCGTTTCCCAAGTTTGCAGAGAGCAGGACTGAATAAATAAGTCATTCAATGCTGCTCTGGATCTCTGTGCAGTCGGGTTTGTCCTTGTAACATGTCATGGGCTCTGAGTTGCTCATGTTCTCTTTCCAAAGGGCTTTTTGCAAATCCTTTTTGAAGCAGTCCTTGAAATCACTGCTCTTGAGCGTATAACGGCCACATCACCCGCCCCCTAGAGCCCTATTGTAGAATTTTTCCACGTGCTGAGGTTTTCGAAAGGTCTCGGGTCGGGGTGGTTGGTCCACTGACTGTTCTTTTCTGACCTATTCAATTAGAGCCTGGAGCCAGCGGGCACTGACTGAGGGGGAAAACCACTTGGTGGGAGGATGAGTCTTCAGCAGGGTTTGGTGAATTTTGGTTGGGAAAATGAATGAGAAAAACGGTAAGCCATGTTTTTACACATTGGTGAGAGGGCTTTGCCATTTACTCTAATTCTGTTGTTTCAAACTGAGGGCACTTCTAATCTAATAGAGTCTTCTGATTACCCTGCATTTGGGAGGCTGAAAATGGTCTCCTGGAAGTAACATTTTGTACCCTAAGTTTTCAGAAACCGCAGACAAGACTCAACCACAATGGGTGTGGCTGGTGCGAATCAGCTGTAGGTTCTCCACCATCCCCCTCACTATGTTGGTTCTTTGTTCCCTTCCCTTGAAGCTGGGCTTTATCAGTATTGGCATTTTTTTATGGTAGTGAAAAAAAAAGTCAACCATCTTGATTATTTTGTTTGAGGCAGGGCAGTGGGGGTGGGGGAATAACTCCTGACAGTGCTCAGGAGTCACCCCTAAGCAGTGCTGGGACTCCTGTATGCAAAACATATGCTCCAGCCCTTTGAGCTGTCTTCCCAGTAGTATCCATCTTAACTACTTAAAAAAAAATTTTTTTTTTTTTAGGTTTTGGGGCTACACCCAGCAGTGCACAAGGTTTACTCCTGATCATCCAGGCCTTGTGCAAATTAGAATCTCATCCTTTCTCGTCAAAACTGAGATAAACTCTCTGGGATTAGGAAA